TGAATATACCATGGACTGCCAGAAGAATGAACAAATCTGGCTTGCAAGAAGTACAGCCAGAATACTCCTTAGAAGCAAGGATGGCGAGACTTCATCTCATATACTTTGGACTTGTTTTCAGGAGGGACCAGTCCCTGGAGAATGACATCATGCTTGGTAAAGTGGAGGGTCAGTGAAAGAGAGGAAGACTCTTGACAAGATGGACTGACACAGTGGCTGCAGTGATGGTGCTCCAGCAGAGCAATGATTGTGGGGATGGTGCAGGACCAGGCAGTGTTTGTTCCGTTGTACATAGGGTCACTATGGTGTGGAACCGACCCGACAGCACCTAACAACAACATCATAAAGCAAAAAGCTATGCCTTTCACTGTGAATTTTAAATTTATCGTAGTAAAGTTATGCATGGTATTTACCCAATTTTTAAAATCTCTACATCTGTAGTCACATCCCCTTTCTCATTTGTAACGTCTACTTGTGTTTTTTTCTCTTGAATATACTTGTCAGGGATTTGTATATTTATTTTTCTTTTCAGAGTACCAGTCCTTGGTTTTATATTTCTAAATCCTTTTCCTGGTGGTGGTGGTCTGTTTAGTTCTTTTCCTCTGTTAGTCACCGTACGTTGGAATTGATTCCACGGCAGCGGGTTTGGTTTGTTTTTATTGCCTTCTTTAAGTAACATTTTATTAATTAAAAAATATTTTTAATTTGCTACCTGGTTCATTATTTTCATTCTTTCTTGCTTTATTATAAACAGCATTTAAATCTATAAAGTTGTCTAAAAGATTGTTCTTTAATTTACTAATAGTTTGTATTAGGGGCAAAGAGACTGTATTTATTTATTTTCTTTCAACGTTTTAGTTTTATTGCATTTGAGGTCAGTGGACATGGCCTATAAGGTTTGTGTTCTTTGGTATGAATTGAGGTCTTTGTTATTTAATACACAGTCAATTTTCGTGACTATTCCTCATACTTTTGAAAAGAATGGTTATTCTTTGTAGTGTACACGATTTGAAATCTGGTGGTGTTCAGTGCCCCTGTCCGTCAGATTGGAGATACGATGGTAAAATATTCCCTTGTGGGTTTTAAGTTTCAAACGCTTTTTGCTTAATTGTTGCTGCATCATCGTGCCCCTACACATCTGTGACGGTTTTTATCTTCTTTAAAATGCTTTTTTCTTTCTGTCATGAAGTGTTTATCTCTGTCTCTCTTAGTGTGTTCTTCCCTTGGACTCTGCCCTGGCTGGCCCCCCCCTTTCTTCAGGTGACCTCGCTGGCTGTGTCCCTGCCCAGCCTTTGCTTCACCAGTTTGCCTGATTTCAGTTTTCGCGTCTCTTGTAAGCAGCGTGTCCTGGATTTTGCGTTTGTATCTAAGCGGATGAGGGAGTTTAACGTGGTCATGTGACTCACTGTGTGGTTGGTTGTGATCTCATTTAGTTTTCTTTTTCCCTTTCTGGTTGGAATGCCCCAATTCTACCATTTTAGCCTCTTGGTGTATTTATCTTGAAATGTTTACTAATATTTTTTAACCTGCAGTTTTGTATTTCAAGAATTAATCAGTGTCGAATCTGAAACAGGATGAGACCATTTGACATGTTTCTCCTCCCTAGCTCAGATGGCTTATGTTTTGTTGAAATAGCTAGAAATATTAACAGTTACATTATTATTTTTAAATTAATGGACTTTATTTTTTAGAGCAGTTTTAGGTTTAGTGAAAAATTGCGCAGAAGTACAGAATTCTCTCTCCCGTGCACGGTTTCTCCTGTCCCAATGTCTTATATTAGTGGTGCGTTTGTGACAACGGATGAACCAGTGTCGATACGTTTTTATTAACTAAGGTCCACAATGTACGTTAGAGTTCACGCTTTCTGTTATACCGTGCTCAGGTTTTCACAGATGTATGACGTCGTGATTCCACAATCCCAGCCTCCTGCAGACCAATCTCACTGTCCTCAAAACACCCTGGGCCCCAGCTGTTCGTCCTTCTGTTCTCCTCCTGAATCTCTGGCAACCACTGGTCTGTTTTCCGTCTCCACGTTTCTGCCCGTATTGGATGGTGAGCTGTAGTTTTGTGAGAAGCTGCCAGACTGTCTTCTGAAGTGGCTGCACCGTTTACATTCCCACCAGCCACGAATGAGGATTCCTGTCGCTCCGTGTCCTCGCGGGATCTTAGCCATTCCAGCGGGTATCTCGTTTGAATTTGGGATTTTGTCAGGGTTTGGAATTTTAGCCATCCTAACAGGTACCCCAGAGCCCTGGTGGTGCAGTGGTTAAGAGCTGCAGCTGCTAACCAAAAGGTGGGCAGTTCAAATCCACCAGCTGCTCCTTGAAAACCCTATGGGGCAGTTTTGCTCTGGCCTGTAGGGTGGCTATGAGCCAGGATCCACTCAACAGCAACAGGTCTAATGGATATCTCATTGTTTGAGTGTGCAATCCCCTTATAACATTGATGTTGAGGATCTTCGTGGCCTTTTTTGCCATCTATGCGTCTTCTTCGGTGACGTGTCGTGCAGATCTTTTGCCCGTTTTGTAACTGGGTTGTTTGGTTTCCTGTTGTTGAGTTTCAGCAGTTCTTGGTGTATGTTTCAGATACGTGTTCTGCAGATGTTTTCTCCCCGTCTGTGGCTTGTCTCTTCATTCTCTAACGGTGTCTTTCACACAGCAAGTGTTTGAGTCATTGATAAGCCCAGCTTGTCAATTTATTCTTTCATGGGTCGTGAACTTGATGTTATAGCTGAAATTCACTGCCAAGCTCAAGGTCACCTAGCTTTTCGTCTCGGTTCTTCTAAAGGTTTTATGATTTTGTGTTTTGTATTTAGGTCTGTCATCCATTTTGCTTTAATTTTTGTGAATGATGTGAGATCAGTGTCTAGATCCTCTTTGCGTGTGAATGTCAACTGTATTATTTTTAAAATATACGTTTTCTTCCAAGAATATCTTTTTTAGAAACCTAATCGTTTGAAAAAATGGGGTGGGGGGGAGTGGGCTGTTGTCCAGACCAGCCGGCCTTGAGCCCTGGCCCCACCTGCTCTGGTTGAGTGACCTTGGCTGCTGTATCCTCTCCGTTCAGCCTCCTGCCTGGAGGGTGAGTGACAGCTGCCCCCTCGGCTGGTGTGGGCAGGCGGCTGATGCAGTCCTGGGGTGTTGCTCCTCATGGCGCAGCCGCCGGGCTCGGTGCGAGGCAGTGTTGCTAGGCCCGCGCAGCCCCTCAGCACCCAGGCTGCTTGCAGGGGCCTCGGAGCCCTTCCCTGCATCCTTCAGGTGGGCGGAGGAGGACAGGGGCACCTGTAGGACCTTGTGGAGTCCCAGGCCAGACCCCAGTCGTGTGGGACAACGCGAGGGAGCCGGCGTCGGGTGCTGGCGGACGGCTGCAGCATCTGCCTCACCTCCCACCATGTTGTTGGGGTGGGGTTACAGAAGCTGACGAGCCCCTCCCCTCTCGTGGCCCCACTGCTCGCCAGTGTCCCTCCCTCCCATCGCCCAAGTTCCACTCCTCACTGCCCCCCGCCCGGCCTGCCTCCGGGGTTTTTAAGACCATTGTGGTCCTCTGTCACCCCACCAGGCTGTCAGCTCCATAAAGTCGCCCCAGCACCTAGCATGGCACCAGGCATAGAGTAGACACTCGATAAGGGGCAGAGAGAGAGAGAGAGAGAGAGAGAGAGAGAGAGAGAGAGAGAGAGAGTGTGTGTGTGTGTGTGTGTGTGTGTGTGTGTGTGTGTGTGTGTGTGTGTGTGTGTGTGTGTGTGTGTGTGTGTGT